GCGGCCGCTCCTGCCGTGCTGCGGCAGCCGTTTGTCTCCCCAGGGGATTCCTCAGCCCATTTCCTCCCGGGGTGGCCGCGGTGCCGCCCGCGCAACGGGAGCAGGAGGCGGGGAACGCGCGGCCCCGAGCGCGGGGGCTGCTGCGGGGCAGGGCCGGCCCTGCGGTGCAGCACGGCCAGCACAGCACCCCGGCACGCCCTGATGCCCACACAGCCCCACCTGCCACAGCGGGACCCTCTGCCCCCTCGGACATCACGTTATTGCACACCAGGCTGCCAGGCGAGTCTCTCCTGAGAGCGGGGCATGGCTGGCACAGCCCCCCGTGCTCCCAGCACTGAGGCACCGGGTGAGGGGGCTGCACCCTCAAGGTCTGTCCCTCCCCAGCACCAATTCAGTGCAGTTCTGACCCTCAACCACGGCAGATGTTAACACCCGAGTGAGCCGGGATCTGGCATCTTCTCCCCACTGGAAACGCTGATGGTGCCGTTCCCTTCACGTGTGAAGGAGCCCTGAAAACAAAAGCCTCGGCGGCTCCCGCTGCCCTCCCCCTGCTCCGGGTGCTGGAGCAGATGCAGGATCCGCTTCCGCTCCCGCCTGGCCTGCAGCCCCGGGCTGGCAGGGAAGGAAGGAGCCGGAGCTCCCTGCCCTGCCTGACCTTGAGCAGGGCACACGGGAACACGGAGCTCCTGCAGGAACCCCCCGCTTCTGCAGACCTCGCTGGGAGCTGCTCTGTGCCAAGGGCTTTAAAAGCTCAGGGTTTATCCTTGTCCCAGCTTTCCTGTCTGCAAAATAGGGCAACAAATCTTGGGGGTGGCCAACAAATGGCAATGAGCCCTGGCAGGTGAGTGAAGCTGGGGAGAAGAACCAACAGGCAACAGCCCCAAGAGCAGGTTTGAGGTCAGCTTCTCCTGCACCCACCCAGCTTGGGACAGGCAGGGAGGCACCCCACCCTGCCTGGGAAACCCTGCTGCTGCCTCCCATTCCTGCAGGAGCCTCCAATGCAGTGGAAATATTCCTAACGCCCTCTTCTCCTAAGCCCTGCCATCTCTCTAGGCACTTCTTTGTCCAGGCACACTGGGAACAATTGGGGTTGCTCAGCCAGACCACAGGCTGTCGATCAACAGAGTGAATGAATGCTCAGGCATAAGGAACCCATCTTCTCCAGCAGTACCAGGAGGGGGCCACCAGAAACAGGGCCTGTGGCACAACAGCAGAGGCAGCAAACAATTCCTGGCTACCAACAACAGGACCAGCCCCAAGACGGTTGGCTGGAGGCCACCAGCCCAGCAGATCAGGAGGGGATCACTGGGCTTCCCCAGACCTTGCCACAGGGCCTGGGGCG